AGCATCTCTACAGAAGCAAGAGGCGACAAGGCCTGTCCACAAGCACAAATACAAAATATATAGCGAGATGCAAGAGTACAAGACAAAGCATCTCTACGCAAGCAAGTGAGGGCCTGTAGATACAAGACCTAGCTGGTTGCAGAAACGTTGGTGGTCACAAGGCGGCAACGCCTTGGTGAAGATATCTGCAGTGTTGGCCTCAGAGACCACACGTCACACGAGTGCCTGGTCACGCTGCTGCAACTCTTACAAAAGGAAGTAACGAAGCTGGATGTGCTTCGCCTTCCCAACCAGTCGGGGCTCCTCGCACAACAGGATAGCAGACCTGTTTACGGCGAACAAGACTGGGGGAGAGTGAGGCCGCTCACCAAGGTCGGTGAGGAGGAAAGATTGCTAGCGAAGCTCCTGGGCGGCCATGGCCGCAACATACAGCTCTGCCTCACAGCTGAAACGGGAGACGGACGACGCCCAAGTCGACCTCCATGAAACAGCTCCGGTCCCAAGGCTAAATTAGTAACCCTGTGTAGACCGCAATGACTCAGCGTTGTCAACCCACGACGAGTCCGAGAAACCTGTAAGTGTAACTGGCTGCTTCCCTCCAAGGACAAGTCCCATGCCTGATGTACCCGACACATATTTTGCCACCCTCTTAGCAGTGTACCAGTGGGAAGGTCGGTGTCACCCAGGCTCAACAAAGTGCGCAAGGACGCTAATAGGGTAAGCTAGGTCTGGGCAAGTACGGGTCATCAGGTACATGAGACAACCCACCAGCTCAAGATATCGACCGCTAGACTCAAATGGCTCTTCCAAAGGTGGAGCCGTGAGCCCATGATCCACAACAAGACGGGTGAGCTGTACCTTGGAGAACGGGAAGCGGAACCGCGTGAGGGTCTGCTCAACCATATGCGACTGCGTCAGTGTAATGGTGCGAGTTGCCCTGTCCCTAGTGATTTGCAGGCCAAGGTAGCGCTGCAACTCACCAAGGTCAGTGCAAGTGTGTCTCCTCTACAATTCCTCCTTCACGGAGGCCAGTGCGCGTCGGTCCGGAGTGGCGAAGACCAGGTCGTCAACGTAAACCAAAACAAAGAAGGGGGTCGAGCCGCGGCGGACGAACAACGACGGGTCGGCAGACGTCGGGAAAAAGTCAAGCGCTGGAAGAGTCGAACGTAGCGTGTCGTGCCACTCGCGGGGAGCCTGGCGCAGGCCGTGTACTGGTCGACACAACTGCCACTGGGTCCCGGGAGGAAAAGAGCAGTGAAGCCAGGCGGTTGACGTAGCCAGATCTGCTCGTGCAAGCTCCCCTGTAGGAACGCTGTGGAGAAGTCTAAGAAGTGTAACTCGTAGTCGCGCTGAGCTGCAAAGTGCAGCAACACCCAAAGAGTGGTCATCTTCGGGATGGAAGCAAAGGTTTGAAAGAAATCTACCCACTCGCGCTGACTGAAGCCTCTTGCCACATAGCGCGCCTTGAACACTGGTGGTGATCCAGGCGGCCGCTTCACCTTGTAGAGCGACATGCCAGTGACGACGATCGTCCCAGGTGGTGGGACGGCGTCGACGTAGGTGCTGGTGGACCTATAAGATGCCATCTCTGCCTCCTCAGGTGCTATCTAGTACGAAGCCCAGGGTCCCGAGACCGCCTTTGCGTGAGTGCGCGGAATCAAGATGTCAAGGGCGTCTAGATCCCCCTCAGGGGCAAGCAACATGGCGCAGAGATGAGGGACAGCGAATGGAAGGAAACCAAGCTCGAACTACCTGTCCTCCAGGACCTCCAGGGGCAAAACAAGAACACCCCCAGTGGACGGAGTACGAGTAGTGCCGCTCACAAGGTGGGAGGCGTAGTCAAGACGGTGGGACGAGGCAAAGCCAGCGACAGTGGTTACAAGGGCTGAGACATACGACATAGGGGCAGTCGGGTGAGTGACCAACGCGGACAGAACACGGGAGACGACAGGACGGGAGCCACGGAGGTAGTCGGACAATGGGTCGTGAAGCACAGTGAGGGACGACTCATGAGACTGTGGAAGGACTAGAGGAGGTGGAACACGAGAGTGGAGTACAAGGTGAAACGGGCCGTCAGCACAGTAAAAAGACAGACGGGGCTCCAAAGACACAGCACGGCTAAGGGGAGAACGACGAGTCCACTGGGACAAGGAAAAGGAATGAACGGGGGGAACAGGAGGGGATGTTAGGGGACCACAAACCAAGCGCGCAGGTGCTGGACCTTTTGTGGCTGCATCTGCTCCTGCTGCTGCAATCGTGACCCCTCCTCTGCTGTCTCTTGCTACTGCTGTGACTCCTCCTCTACTCTCTCCTACTGCTACGATTGAGACTGCTGCTGCTGCTGCTTCTGTGCCCTCTCAAACCGCTCATGCTCCTCCCTCTCCAACTGGAGGAGACGCTACTCACGGATCAGGAAACATACAGTGCGCGGTGTAGGCGCCACAGTGCCTGTGCCTCCAGCTCCAGCACCCCCAGAACCAGCACCTCCACCACGGACACCCTTGGGGCCTCCAGTACCTCTCGCAGGAACACCCCCAGGCTCCGCAGCAACTGGTCGCAACAAAGAACGAGGATGGAACTGCGGGACGGACGGGAAGCCAGGGGGTGACGCGGGGCGAGGCCGCTGAATCGAGGCTGCCATGTCCTCCACGGGAGTGACCTCCACGCCCATACCCCCTGCACTCACAGAGCCGACACCATTAGCTCATGCAGCCCCTGTACCCTCACCCTCTGTAACTGCACCTCCCGCACCCCCAGACACGATAGGGACTGGACGCTGCAGGGGGGGACGACTGCGGAGTGACGTGTGAACCTGAGCTAGAGAACCCCAGACGCGGAAGTCAGCTGCTACGCCCGGAGAACCTATCCAAAGGGAGACCGGCGTCACCTGTGGCCGTGCGTCACTGGGCCAAAGGTTCAGCTGGTGCGTGGCGTAGCCGACTGCTTGAGGCCACAAGAACTGGGGGGCATCAGCATGGCAGATGGAGGTCCGGGCAACCTCCATGACCAGGCTGATGCGTCACTCGGCTACCTCCTGCTGCGGCGAGTATGGTAGCGTGTAAGACTGGATGATCCCCCGACCCTCACAAAACCTCTCCAGGCGAGTGGAAGAAAACTCACCACCACGGTCCGAGTGTAGGCAAAGCCCACACAGGCCCTAGACGCCACCCCACGCTAGTAGCCATGGCTCGAGGAAGGTAGGCACGTCGTCCTTCCGTCGCAGGGAGAAAACCGTGGTGTAGCGGGAGTTGTTGTCCACCACAATCAGGAAGTAGCGCTCCTGACGTGGGCTAAGGACCGGGGAGGGGCCCCAGACGTCCAAGTGCAAGGTTTGGAAAGGAGCCGTGGTGGGGGGGAACGAGGAGGAGTGAGGGGCAGCGTGTTGCCAACCCTCGACGCAAGGAGTGCACGGCAGCGCAGGTGAGCGAGGAAGCAGGGCAAGCGACGCTGGGAGACCTGAGGCCAGACGGTGAGGTACCATCCTACTGAGACGTGGGAACGACGGGTGACCTAGACGGTGGTGGCAGAGGACCGACGGGTGGGGGAGTGACCGATAGTCACACGACACAGCAGCTACCTGACCTGACCTGACTCAGTGTGGTGGGACCCAGTGTGTAGTGAGTACGGACCAGAGCTTGGCTCTCTGTGGAAACTGGCCAGAGGCGCCCAAGTGGCACCGACTGTGCAGGTGGCAACAGGCTTGTCTAGTGAGAAAGTAGTGACTACACCAAGGTCGTGAAAGTGACTAATACCCATCAGGTTCCTAGAGAACGAGGGGGTGTAGTAACCTGTGAGAAACCCAGAGGGAGCCGCCGGACATGGGAGAGTGGTGGTGCTGCGGGCAACTACAGGTACCACAAAGGGGTCAGCCAAGGCGACAGTGACTGGAGAGCGCAGTGGTGTGAGGTCAGTACAGTCTCAAAAGAAACAGCTGGTCGCTCCAGAGTCTAAGGTGAAGGAAAAGCTGTGCAGTCTGTGAGGTCGCACCCGAGCCAGCGACAAAGGCTGGTGCTAGACTAGTGGTAGCTGCAGCTCCTACATAAAGACCCTTAGAGGCGCCTGGACTGGAAACAACACACGCACCAAGACTGGAAACACATGTCTCTACTCGTGCAGCCAAAGAAGGTCCTAGGCAAGGTAGGTGAGACTCAACTGGTGCAGCAGTGCGCGGACGAAGAAGCGAGGGCTAGTGCGGTGTAATAGCGCGAGGACTAAAACGCTCACGGTAAAGGTCGTCGAGTCGAAGGTAGCAGCTAGACGCAGAGTGGTCAGGACTCGAGAAACTAGTGCCAGCACCAGGGCCTCACAATGCCCAGTACCCGAAGGGGGCGACGTCTTGCCTACTGCTAGATGAGCCACTGCTGGGGGCGCCACACTTTGGACCCGCATGTCCCCACTGCCGGGAGTGGTGCGGCTGGCCCTGCTGGTGTAGAACTCTAGTACACGCCATCAGAGGAGCTAGAAACGGGGGGGTGCGCTGGTGGTAGCTTAAGTTGCTGTAGGTGCGCTGGGGGCAGCATGTGCTGCTGTTGGTTCTGCTGAGGGCAGCCTACGCTGCTGCTGGTTCTGCTGGTGGCAGCCTAAGCTGCTGCTCGTCTTGCTGGGGGTAGCCTATGCTGCTGCTGGTTCAACTTGGGGCAGCCTATGCTGCTGCTGGTGCGCCTGGCGGCAGTCTAGGCTACTGCTGGTTCAACTGGGGGCAACCTATGCTGCTGCTAGTGCTCTGGCGACAGCCTATGCTGCTGCTGGTTCAACTAGGGGTAGCCTATGCTACTGCTGGTGCTCTGGCGGCAGCCTATGCTGCTGCTGGTTCAACTCGGGGCAGCCTATGCTGCTGCTGGTGCTCCTGGCGGTAGTCTAGGCTGTTGCTGGTTCAACTGGGGGCAGCCTAAACTGCTGCTGATGCTGCTGGCGGCAGTCTATGCTGCAGCTGGTGCGCTGGCGCTGGCGTAGGCTACTGGCGCTTGCTGGCGGCGGCCTATGCTGGTACTGGCGGCGGGCTACGGGCGGACCGCAGTCAGTATGGGGTGGAGGGCAGCGGGAGGTGAATGGGAGTCGACGGGGAAGGGGGTGGGACGTGGGGGCGACAGGAGGCGGTTGAAAGGGGGACGGGGAGGCGATGGGATGGGGGGGGGACGGGTGGCGACGAGAGGCGACGAAGGGGCGACGGAAAGGGGGGGGCGGGGGAGGCAACCAGAGGCGACGCGGAGGCGACGAGAAGGGGGGGAACAGGGAGACGACGGGGGGGGCGACGTGGAGGCGACGGGAAGGGGGGGACGGGGAAGCGACGAGAGGCGACGTAGAGGCGATGGAAAGGGGGGGACGGGGAGGCAACGGGAGGCGACACGGAGGCGATGGAAAGGGGGGGACGAGGAGGCGATGGGAGGCAATACAAGGCGACGGGAAGGGGGGGGGACGGGGAGGCGACTGGGGGCCGACGTGGAGGCGACGGGAAGGGGGGAATGGGGAAGCGACAAGAGGCAACGGGAAGGGAGGGACGGGGAGGCGACGGGAGCGACGCGGAGACGACGGGAAGGCGACGGGGAGGCAACGGGGAGGCGACGGAAAGGGGACGGGGAGGCAACAGAAAGGGGACGGGGGGGCGACGGGAAGGGGATAGGGCCGCGACGGGGAGGGGACGGGGGCGCGAGCTACACGGGCGCTACGGGTAGAGGCGCTTCGGGCTACGGGGCGCTTCGGGCTACGGGGCGCTTCGGGGTACAAGGCGCTTCGGGTTATGGGGCGGTGGGCCCAACAGATCGATCTAGCTCTATACCATGTCACAAAGGTAACTATTGGATGAATGGTAAAAAAAGAAGCAGTACAAGGAAACCCTAACTAAACCTAGGGCAAAGTGTAACATCCCTAGACTAACCCTCATAAACTATAGAAAAAATAGTTTGACAGTATTCGCGGCTGATGTTGAGGTGAATTCTCCAGTGCGCGCGGCTTGCGAACTTGCCGATGGTTGATGTCAGCGGGCGATATTGCACCATGCACCCCCAAACACAGAGCATTGAGGTGTCGCCTTTCGTGTCTGTCAATTTTAGGTGTGGGGAGGGTGGTGACTGGTGCAGACCCTCTACCTAGGACTCAAACTATATCGGGTGGCCGTCGGCGTCAAAAGGCGAGTACAATGGGAGTCGCCATAGCGGCAGTAATGGTAGTAAGGGAGTAGCAAAGGCGGCTCGGCAGGGCGGCTCAGCTGGGCCAGCAGTAGCACAGGCAGCTGCAGCCCAGCAGCAACAGCAGCAGCAGCTTAGCAGCTGAGCAGCAGTACGTAGGGCAGGGCAGGGCAGGGCAAGGCAGGCGCAGTGCAGCCGGCAGCTTAGCAGCAGCAGCAGAGCAGCAGCAGCAGCAGCAATTGAACAGCAGCAGCATGAGCATAGGCGGCAACAGCAGCACTGGCGGCAGCAGTATCGCTGGCGGCAGCAGCAACTTAGGTGGGAGCAGCAGCGCATGTGGGAGGAGCAGCTTAATAGCAGTAGCCTCAGCATAGCAGCAGCAGCTTGGCAACAACAGGAGCAGCAGCAGCTTAGCAGCAGCGGCTTGGCAACAGCAGCAGTAGCAGCCTAGCAGCTCAGCAACAGCACGTAGGGCAGGGCAAGGCAGTGGGCGCAGGGCAGCCAACAGCTTAGCAGAGGCGGCGACCGGTAGGCAGCAGCTGCAGCTTGGCGGGGCAGCGCTGGGCAGCGTGCAGGGCAGCGCTGGTGGCGGCCAGGCAGGGCAGGGAAGCGCTGGGTAGCGTGTAGGGCAGTGTTGGCGGCGGCCAAGCATGGCAGGGCAGCGCTGGGTAGCGTGCAGGGCAGCGCTAGCGGTGGCCAGGCAGGGTAGGGCAGCGCTGGGCAGCGTGCAGGGCAGTGCTGGCGGCAGCTAGGCAGGACAGGGCAGCGCTGGGGCGGGCAGTGCAGGGCGCTGGCGCGGAAAAGGGTGCTGGCGCGGGCAGGGCGCTGGCGTGGGCAGGGCAGGGCGCTGGCGTGGGCAGGGCAGGGCACTAGCGCGAGCAGGGCAGGGCGCTAGCGCATGGTGCAGGCAGGGTAGGGCGCGTGGTGCACTGCGCAGGCTGAACGGGGGTAGGGGTGCAGTAGCGCAAGCAGCGGTAGCAGCGCTGAGCGACAACGAGGTAGGGCAGCAGCTCAGGCGGCAGCAGCGCCGCAGCGCAGCAGCAGTAGTACAGGCAGCAGCAGCAGCTTAGGCGGCAGCGCAAGGCACTGTGGGCAGGGCAGCGCAATAGCGCTGGGCAGGGCAAGGCCTGCTCGAGGCAAGCGACTGGAGCAGCTTAGCAGCAGTTGGAATGCATGCAAGGCACGGGCAGCAAGGCATGCGGGGCACGCAGGCAGCAGGGCGCGCACGGGGCACGCAGGGCAGCAGGGCATGCATGGGTGCTAGGGACCGGGGCACGCGCGAGCGCTAGGCAGTGGGGCGCGCACGGGCGCTGGGCAGCAGGGCACGCGCAATTACGGGGCAGTAGGGCGCGCACGACCGCTGGGCAGCGGGGCACGTATTGGCACTGGGCAGCGAGGCGCGCGCGGGCAAGGGGCAGCGGGGCACACGCAGGTACGGGGCAGCAGTGTGCGCACAGCAGCAAGGCGTGCACCGGCGTTGGGCAGCAAGGCGTGCGCGGGCGCTGGGCAGTGGGGAACGCTGGCGCGCTGGGCAGCGGGGCGCGCTGGCGTACTGGGCAACGGGACGTGCTGGCGCGCTGGGCAGCGGGGCACGCTGGCGCGCTGGGCAGCGGGGCGCGCTGGCACGTAGGGCAGCACGGCGCGCGCTAGCGGGCAAGAGCGGAACCAATCGGTAAGCCCTTGAAAAAAAGCGTCAATCCTAAGGATCGACCTGCTCTGATACCATGTCGAAGGCTAAGGAACAAGAATGATGAGACTAGCAAGTAAGGGTGATACAATTGTGGAACCCTAATGGGTTGTACCCCCTAATGAGTATCCCAATATAGCCTACAGTGATATATAATGTTTGACAAGAGAGCCATGTAGCACTTGATCTTCTCTAGGTAGTCCACACCAATAGTAGAAAGCTTCACATAGAGGTCCCGGAGTTGATCGAACGCTCCTTGTACGTCATCACCCTCGTTAATCTTCACCGCATCGAGTTGTCGCTCAAGCACCACCGCCATCGCTTCGCTGCTGGGGGCATGGTTATCCTTCAATATCTTCCATACCTTGGGACCACACTGGATATCTTTGATGAGATGCTTAATGTGGTGCAGCTGGTTGGATGAGAGGCATTGGGAGAGAAGGAAAAATCCATCCTTGGATCGACGATCCCATTCCTTGGTCGCTCCTTCGCTCGCATGCCTTATCAATTCTCCAGCCCATAAATGGTTTGAGAGGAGCTCCTCCCGAAGCTCCATGATGCCCAATCCTCCCCATAGAACTTCTCTAGGTTGAATGCCTTCACATCATCCTTAGCTGGTGTTGAAACAGACGCTATTGGTGTAGATCCGCCTGCAACTCCTCTTCCTGCTTCCCCAGCGCCTCTCACACCACCACTGCCACTTGGACCAGCTGGATCAGAACCTTTGGCCTCTATATCGACCCAAGAACAGAATAAAAACCCCTCTGATACCACTTGATATAGTCTAGAGTCCACTTAGGGGTCGCGGATGCCCATGAAACCGCCTAACCAGATTCTGACGACTTGGAACCGCCACTGTTCAAACCGCCGTCGTCATCAGCTCCAAGCAAGTTAAGTTCTGAGCTTTAGACAGCTAATAGCCACAGGTGTCCAATTACGAACAGTATCTTGCTTGTCTCAATCAGAGATGTGAGCGCTACATAGTGATAAAAAACGTAACCACGTCTGAAAACATTCAGTCTGATTGATGCAAGGAAACAGGTGACTACAACATCGCCTAGGGGGGGCAGGAATCATCCTGGAAACTCAGAGAAGGCTGAGTCATAGGGGAGAAAAGCTAGAGAAGGATGGGAAACGTCCTAGCTAGGTTAGAAAAGCCAACAACACTTGGATGTTCAGTGCTGTACTCAAGGCTACCAATAGTAAGTCAAGCCAACCATGGATCAGCTTGTCTTTCCACTTGCACCCTCTTGCAAGCTGCTTTCAAGAAGACCACACTTCTCAAAAAGAGGGTGGTCAAGTTCCACTTGACCACCTATACTTCTTGTCTCGTTCTCTTTTGTTGCACCATTGGCATGACAACAATGAAAGGGTGGCAAGGGAAATGCTGCCAACAGTTCACCATGACAACTGAAAAGTAACTTTCAGAAGTTGTCACGTGCTGCTCCAATGCTGGGTTACATGAGAGGTAGCAGGAAGGGCGGCACAAGACACACGAACCCGATGCTCTGTCAGGGAGACGAGCAACGGGGAGTATCGAGCAGGAGCAGGCATAGGGGAGTCAGGCGGCAACAGTGGCCGAGACAGGTCAGGCGGCGGAAACAAAAGAGGAGTAGTACCAGTGGGCGTCGGCTCAGATAGTGACAATGACGGGTGCTCCAAGAAGATAGGCCGCCGCGGCAGCGACTGCACCTCACCCCCAGACCCAGCACCTCCGGTACCAGTACCTCCAAGTCCACCAACAAGAGGACTTTAGCACTCCCAGAGTCTGCACCCCCATTTTGCAGTTTCTAAACCCACATGCCTTTTACCTTTAGGAACATCACACTTCGACACATTCTTCATCTTCGACCACCCCTACGGGTGCAGCTTCTCCCCTGATGCTATGCAGGCAAGCATGACAATGAGCCTCGTCATCTCGTAGCTTGCTGAGTGGATTGGGACAGATCATGCGCCACGGTGGTCGATTGTCCTCTCGGGGCATCTCGATGAAGAGCGGGGATTGGTCCGCGTTGATGATGCATGAGAGGTCGATGGTGTGTCGAGCACGGTTGATCCGCACGAACTGCCAACAGGCCTTACAAGCATTTGCACACTCTGCCATGTGAAAAAACACAAGAGAAGACGAGGGTTTAGAACCTGAGAAGGCACTTACCGACTAAGAAGAGAGAGGTGATTATAGAGCACGATCCCCGGCAAATTCAGTGTTTTAGAACTCACCCTAAGACAACCTTTGCCCCAACCTTAGTCTTCATGCGCATTACCAGGTTCCACCGGTCCCGAAATCGTTGACTCCAGTGGGACGATACGTTCAAGTTCTTGTCGGGGTGTGTGCTTCTTCGTCCCCTTGCGGCTCCAACGTTGCTTGTCCTTCACCGATATAGCCACCCACTTTGATCGCTCCAGGCAGACGTGCGGTTAAGAGCTGTCTCCATGTTGGGGTGGTATGCATGGCGGCCATCAACGTGTAGACGCTTGCGGCAGTTAGCGGCACCCCGAAACACGCCCAAATCTTCCTGGCCCATTCAGCGTCAAATGCACGCAATGGAGACAGATGATTTCCGTGAAGTATTCTTCAAGGAGACGAGCTCCTTGTAGCGAAGCACCCAATTCACCTTTTCACATATGCTCTAGCTTCTCTGCGACTTTGTGTAACCGCGATTGTGTGGGGATTGAGACCGAGAATCTAAAATAGCGAGGGTGGGGTCCTTCGGTTTAGGCGCTGCGGGGAACTTGGGGATGGGTTCGACGGCGTCAGTGTACTCTTCATCCGAACCTCCAGCCTTGTGGACGACGATGTCATCATTTCTTGCGGTCGTGGGTTGCCTCGACTTCTTCTATTTCTTTCCTTTTTGGGTTGCAAAGCAACCTAATACAATCGATCTGGACGGATGAGTCTCCCTTGCTTTCCCATATCTCTGGGGCCGTTGATGTTAAGGCACGCACAAGTAAGGATGTTTTTCTTGTTACTCATTTATCCACTGACTAGCAACTCTTTCGCATCCATAGGTTGAAAAGGCAATGAAAGTGACCACACTGACTACAACACAAACTCTAGCCGCTGTCTCC